GGCTGTCCTGGAACTAGCTTTTCTAGACCAGGCTGGCCTCGAACTCACTTGGGAGGCTGGGAGTAAAGGCATATGCCACCAGTGCCCAGCAACTAAAGGTGTATTCTACCATGCCTTCCTTGAGGAGCACAATTCAGCTGCCTAGAGCCGTAAATCCCTCTCCCACTTCAGAGGCCCAGCATTGGACTGGAAAGGCCTCCCCACTTAGCCTAGTAAGTCTAAGCCTGGAAACCTTACAGCTGGAGTACAGGGTGGCCTTGCAACCTCAAGGGTTGGGATAGGAGTTGCTGGTGTGAACTCCCCTCTTCCCCAAGAGAAATCTGCCCACTTTCTGGAGGCAGGACCTCACTCCTGCTACCTGCCTGAGGCTCAGGGGACTAACAAGCAAGGGGTTCCTTCTCTTCATTGTTTTACATAGTCTGCATGTGTTGCCTCTTGCCAGGGCATTGTGAAAGGTCCCTACTTTCTGGACAGCAGTGGGTGAACCTGGCCAGAGCACCTGTGTGGTAAAGTCAAGCCAGCAGTTCTCTTCTAGATCTTCAGTTTCCCTGAGTCACTGCGTCTTTGTACCACCAACCTGTCAGCCTTAGAGTTTTACCTTAGGGCCCTTCCCGACTATCAGGTGTATCCTCACTGTAGTGGTTCTCAAAACCATCCTACCGCTGGCTGGCTGAGATCAGTGCTGTGACATTGCCTCCCTTTGCAGGTAGGGAAAGGAAGGCAGAAGTCTGAGAGCAGAGACTGAGAGCCCAGGTCTTGCCATCTCAAACATACACATGCAACCAACAGGTCATTCTCAGAGTTGATCTGAAGCTAAATGGGGGAAGGCAGCAAGGGTGAAAGGGAACAGAGGAGGTGGGGCAGCCTGAAGGTCAGTTAGGGAGTGCAGTAGGGAGGGGGAAGGAGGGAGGGGATTTGAGAACCAGAGGCCTTGATCCCAGAGGAACAAGGCTGAGCAGAGCATCACAACAGATAAAAGAGGCTAGAAACCAGGGCCAGGGGGAGCGGGGGATCAAGAGTTTCCAGGCCTAAGTGGGAGTCCTACTTTGCCACTTCTGCTGTGCAACCCCCAGGCTCATCTCCCTGACTCTGCAGGCTATAGTTCCCCACATGGGAAACAGCAGCCAGAACCCCCCCCCACTGTGTTTCAGTAGCTGCTTAATAAATATATGTTAGGTGAACAAAGACACAGCAATTCCTCGGTGAGACAGGCAAGCCAAGCCTGATGCGGAATCTGCACTTCCAGAGCAGTCTGTGTCTCAAACGCTTCAGAGACAGGGCCCTGAGACTGAGGTATGAGACCTCCAGTGAGCCTTGTCACCTCCCATGTTATCTCACCACCAGCAGTAACCTAGAAGATTCATGATAGTATAAAAAGCCCCAGTAGGTGTCTGTTCCCAAGCATGGCTTCCACTGCTATTGGAGCTGACAGGACCAAAGAGAGGTTCCTAGGGAGGGAACTCCATGGCATCTGGTCACTCTTTCCATCATGGGTAGCCAGGATATGTGGTGGTGGGGTGTGCATGGCTAGGAATGGTTATCCTTCCAGCCTGTGGGGTTCCTAAACAAACCTTTGCCACCAGACACACCTCAGGATGCAATCTGAGTAAGGAAAGGGACTCCATCTCTACTGCTGTTTGCTGGACTGGCAGCCTGCTCTTGGAAGCTGTGGGAAACCTGGGCCACATCTATTTCCCTGCTTCTACTGTCTTCTTCACATTCCATCACCTCAGAAAGCCCAAGACAAGATGAGGATGAATGGTCCCAGGCTTGGGGAATGATACAAGCTGAGAAAGGGAAGACCCTTCACAAGGCATTGCAGAAAGGTCCAGGCTCCTTTTTTTCACACAGCCAGCTTCCTTTAGTCCACTTGATGGACAGGATGGAGACTGGTCCCCGGCCTTCTAGGAGACTACAGGATGAGGTCATACATCTGCCTGGACAAGCAGAGCTCTCCTATTTTCAAAGTAAATCCTACTCAGAGGAGGAAGATGCTGATCCCTGCTTTGTGTCCCCTCCTGTCTTGTCATCTGTGTCCCCTCTCTTTTGGGCTTTTCCCAGAAGCCCCATGTGATCAGAGAAAGCTCTTGGCTATGCCCATGTAGTTATCACATGGACACATGCCCAGCTGGCACTGTTCACTGGTGAGATGTGCACTTAGCCCATACACTGACAGGTGAGCTTCACCTCCCTACTGAAAGGGCCTGTGGTGGCCACAGCAGCTGCTCACAGGAACAGGAGGCTGGACTAATTGCACACAGCTACTCCTCGCTGTACCCTAGGGGACATATCTGGGGAACCAGCATTCCTGAGCACTGGGATGGGCAATAGCCTGAAAAGCCCACCATGAGGCAGGCACAGGAGGGACTCAGAGAGCCTGCCAGGGCCAGAAAGAGGCACAGGAGCCTGCAGAACTGTGGGGCAGGTGATGGGAGACTGGGGTGTGTGTATTGAGCAGGCAGGTGAGTACCTGATACGGACAGGGCAGGCGAAGCCTCAAAGCTGATGCTGGAAGAGGCTCCCCCATCTTCACCCACTAATCAGAGCCCTTGGCAGTGGTGAAGGAGGGAACACACCAAAGCCTAGAGCCATGGGGAGCTCCCTCAACTACTCACCCCAGACCTCTTGTGAGGGTGGCCCCCACAATGAGCCATCTCTGCAGTCAAACACCCTGTCCTTTGCATCTTGGGAGGCGGTCTTTGGCAGGACCCTTCCTGGACAGCTAGTGGCATTCATTCATCAAAGGTCCAGGTGTCACTTCTTGTCCTCTGCCTCTCTTGCAGAGGTGCAGGGTGTGATTAAGAGCCTGTTATGGTGGAGTTAGTACCCACTTTTTCCTGGCTCCAGACCTCCAGATCCCTCCAGAGAAAAGGGACAAAGAGCTGAAGGCCTGTCTTCCCAAATGTCAGGGTGGGTATGAACTACCTGGTCAGAACATTCTGAAATCCTCAGTGGCTCCTTCCCATGCCTGGGCCTCCTTGGCCTCAGCTATAAAACAATTGTCTTAAATGTGGCTACCTTGTGTTTCCCAGCTGTAAGTGTCTTTGGTGCCGATGAAGGAGTTGGCGGCCATGGTGGAACACAGCAAGGGAACCCCAGCTATTGACTGCTTTAAAGGGCCAGTGCTGAATTCTGGGCCATACCCAAGAAGTCTAAAGTTCCAGGTCAGGAAACTAAAGGCCAGTCAAATCACATAGCAGATCTGGGACTTGGACAGAGGGAGCCCCTTGGGGTGGGGTGGGGGAGAGAAGCAGGGTCGTGTAGGGTGGCCTGGGGGAGGGAGAGGGAGCCTCTAGAGAAAGAGGCAGGGGAAAGGGCTGTTGATATCTAAATTATAGCATTGGTGCGCACCGGTTGCTGCAGCAACCAAGTTGTCCTGAACCAGGGAAGTGTGTAAACATTGCCACAGATGCACAATTAGACCAGGAAGAATAGAACAGAAAATAGAAGCTTCCAGACTTATATAATTCTAGGCCAAGATGTTATCAGGAACCCAAGCTGGGTCCCAGCCCTGCTGGTCTCCGGGACCTGAGATTGCACCATCAACTCTGGTGCTCAGACCTCAAGGGCAGGGAGCACAGAAGAGAGTGTGCCCTCTGTGTGAGTCCAGCTGGTGGGCACACCACGTGGGGGTGGCAGGCCTCTGTTGGAACAGCTGGCAACCACAGTCAGGCCCGCCTGCCTCTCACAGGCACCCAGCAAGTGGGGAGCAGCAGGGTGGGGGCTTTGTCTTCCAGAGTCTTGTGAGGTAGGAATTTCAACCCTCTGTTTGCAGATGAGGAAACTGAGGCTCGGAGAAGGAAATGGAGTGGTCAGAGGTAGGTAGGAGGGAAGAGTGCTAACTACCTCACCTACGCCCAGTCTTCATCCAGGAGCTCCTGGAAGGTGACACCTGAGTTTGCATCCACCTTCTTGCTGTCATGCCACGCTCCCTCTTTTAGCCAGCTGCCTGTGCCCAGACAGGGACAGAAGTTCCAGGCTCTCCCTTCCTCCATCTTGACCAGCATACTGGATGCTCTGTCAGCCCCTGTCCTGCTCTCAGCAAGTCTGGTGACAGGACGGGAATCTGGAGATCAATAGCACCCTGTCTGGGGACATTCATCCAATGGTAACTGCTAGTCACAGGGACATCTGAGCATCTGCAAAACCAATGTGGATGAGGAGCTGAAATGTTATGCAATAAAATAAAAAAAAATAACTATGGGTGGCTGATGCAGAGGCTAAACTGGAGGCAAGTAGGGGGTCAAAGCTCTGGGTATGAAGGACATGGAATCAAGATGAGCATCAGGATGGGAGTGTGGCTCAGTGGTAGAGTTCTTGTTCAATATGCTGAAGCCCTGGGTTCCAACCCTAGCATCACCAAAAATAAAAAGAGGTTGGCAAGGTGTCTGTTGGCAAGGCAAGCAGATAAAGGTACTTGCTGTGTAAGCCTGACAGCCTGAGTGTGATCCGTGGAACCCGTGGTGGAAAAAAGCTGACTCCTGAAAGTTGTCCTGTCTTTGACACACACCATGGCAAGTGTGCCTCCTCCCGCTGATAATGATGATGACTGTAATAACAACAAATTGAAATGAAGGCTGATTATAGTGGTTCCACATTCAGGAGGCAGAGGCGAGCAGATCTCTGAGCTCAAGACCAGCCTGTTCTACAAAATGAGTTCCAGGTTAGCCAAGGCAACATGGTCAAGACCCTGCTTCAAAACAGAAAAAAGAAAAGATATAGAAGCTTCCAGAACAGAGGCAAGCTGGAAGGGCCACCCTGAGCAGTGGGGACTAGAACCTGGACCTGTTCTTCATTGGGCAGACCCCAGCCCAGGGTTTGGATCAGCCTCAGGGACACAAGCTTAGTTTCCATAAAGACCCTCTGCCATAACCCCCTGAGTGTCAAAGAGAGTCCTGAGGTCCTGTGTAGACGTTTCTGGTCCTGAGGGTCTGGTAGTCTCTTTACAGTAGCCCTTTGCTTCCCAGCGTCTCACCTGTCTCTTGTTTTCCACAGGCCCTGCATCTCCCCAGGTGACCACGACGGCCTCAGGTCATGCACGGACACAACCGAAACGGGCAGGCCCATGTGCCCCGGCGGAAACGCCGCAACCGCTTTGTCAAGAAGAACGGCCAGTGCAACGTCTACTTTGCCAACCTGAGCAACAAGTCCCAGCGGTACATGGCAGACATCTTCACCACCTGTGTGGACACGCGCTGGCGGTACATGCTCATGATCTTTTCGGCGGCCTTCCTTGTCTCCTGGCTCTTTTTTGGCCTCCTCTTCTGGTGCATTGCCTTCTTCCACGGTGACCTGGAGCCCAGCCCCTCGGTGCCTGCTGCAGGAGGCCCGGGGGGCAATGGTGGGGCAGCCCCGACGGTCCCCAAACCCTGCATCATGCATGTAAACGGCTTTTTGGGAGCCTTCCTGTTCTCGGTGGAGACACAGACGACCATCGGCTATGGTTTCCGGTGCGTGACAGAGGAGTGTCCGTTGGCGGTCATTGCGGTGGTGGTCCAGTCCATTGTGGGCTGTGTCATCGACTCCTTCATGATTGGCACTATCATGGCCAAGATGGCACGGCCCAAGAAGAGGGCACAGACGCTGCTGTTCAGCCACCATGCAGTCATCTCAGTGCGCGACGGCAAGCTCTGCCTGATGTGGCGTGTGGGCAACCTTCGCAAGAGCCACATTGTGGAGGCTCACGTGCGGGCGCAGCTCATCAAGCCCTATATGACCCAAGAAGGTGAGTACCTGCCCCTGGACCAGCGGGACCTCAACGTGGGCTATGACATAGGCCTGGACCGCATCTTCTTGGTGTCACCCATCATCATCGTGCATGAAATTGATGAGGACAGTCCACTCTACGGCATGGGCAAGGAGGAGCTGGAGTCAGAGGACTTCGAGATTGTGGTTATCCTTGAAGGCATGGTGGAGGCCACGGCTATGACCACACAGGCCCGCAGCTCCTACCTGGCCAGTGAGATCCTGTGGGGCCACCGGTTCGAGCCTGTGGTCTTTGAGGAGAAGAGTCACTACAAGGTGGACTACTCACGATTCCACAAGACCTATGAGGTGGCTGGCACGCCTTGCTGCTCTGCCCGTGAGCTTCAGGAGAGCAAGATCACAGTGCTGCCCGCCCCACCGCCCCCTCCCAGTGCCTTCTGCTATGAAAATGAGCTGGCCCTCATGAGCCAGGAGGAAGAGGAGATGGAAGAGGAAGCTGCTGCAGCAGCAGCTGTGGCTGCAGGCCTGGGCCTGGAGGCAGGGTCCAAAGAAGAGGCAGGCATCATTCGGATGCTTGAGTTTGGTAGCCATCTGGATCTGGAACGCATGCAAGCCACCCTCCCGCTGGACAATATTTCCTACCGCAGGGAGTCTGCCATCTGACCTCCAGGCCCTGCCCTCCTCTATTCCTGCAAGAGCCTCTGCCGGGGGTGGGATGTCAGGACAAGCCTACCACTCTCAGGACAGAGTTGAACATGGCTCCGTGGACCTGGAGGAAGGTGGGGGCTTCAAAGACTGGGAGATCCCTTCCTGTTGACTGCAGAGCCCAGGACTGGGAAGGACCCAGGTACTCAGCCCTGCTGGCCTGAGCCCCGCCCCCGGCACCTCCCCACAGGTGGCTCTGGGCCCCCAGACCCTCCACCCTTTCCCACTGACCCTTCAAGGATGTACCCCTTCTGTTCTCAGGACCTTGGGGAAGGCGGCCGGACTGCTGGGGGGTGGGCATCATGGGAGTTCCGGGTGGGCAGGGTGGGTCTGGGGAGGGGGAGGGGTGTGTTTCTTTTGCATGACTGTGGTCTGTGCTCTTGGCTCTCTTTTGTAAATATCTATAAATGGAAGAGATGGAGTCACAAGTCCACCTCTGCCCGTTTCTACCTGTGAGACAGAGAAGCCGCCAACCCCACCCCACCCAGCCCCAGCCCTACCCGGCTGGCTGGTCCCTTGAGACCCTTGAAGCCAACTCTGTGTGGTGTTGGGTTTGGGTACAGAGGGGACCCCAGAGGTGGGATGAATACCCCCTCCTTGCAGTCCCTCCAGTTCCCATATTGGTGATGGCATTTGTAACTATTTTTAATAAAGCATATGGTCCGTTAGAAGTAGGCTGGTAGAGACAGAGAGAGCATGTGAGTGTCTCATGTGTGTGTGGGGGGGGTATGGGTGGGTGCACATGTATGTGTCCGTGTGGAAGCCAAAGGACACCTCAGGTATTGTCCTTCAGGAGCCAGCCACCTTTTTAAAAGATTAATTTCCATTCCATAGGCATGAGCAGTTTTTCCCGCATGTATGTCTGTGCACCCTGTGCGTCCCTGGGGCACATGGAGTCCAGAAGAGAGCATCAAATCCTCTAGGACTGGAGTTACAGATGGTTGTGAGCCACCTGTGGTGCTGGGAATCAACCCTGGGTCCTCTGCAAAAGCAACAAGTGCCCTTAACCACTGAGCCATCTCTCCTGCCCCAGCCACCTTAGTTTTTGAGACAGGGTCTCTCTGGTCTGGAGCTCATGGTTAGGGTAGGCTAGCTGCCAGAGAGCCACAGGGTCTACCTGTCTCCTCTTAGTGCCAGCTTTTTTTTCCCTAGGTGCTGGGCATTGAACTCAGGTCCTCATACTTGCACTTTAGTGACTGAGTCATCTCAGGGATATGTACCCTTTCTGAGATACTGACCCTCACAGGGACCTCTGCCACCTGGTAGGCAATGGAAGGACTCTGGGTGAGCATCACAGAAGCTGAATGCCAATCAAATCTTTGTAGCTCAGGGGAGGTAGGAAGTACTTCTGGGTTTTACCCACAGGTATATGTACACACATTCGTGTGTCTACACACTACTGAGGGGGCCTGCAGGACACCCTAGAGCGAGGGCGTGGTGCCTGCACAGCTTGCTGTGGGACCTCTGGCAATCCCTTCCCTCTGGGCTCCATAGTTGGTGATGTGTGGAGAGTCACCTTCACTCAGGCAACCATCTGTTCTTCAGTTCTGTGCTCCCAGTCAGTAGCTCCTGAAGTCACCGGGTAGCTATACTCGGCTGGAATGTCTACTCTGGAAAAGAGCCAAGGTAGCCTCAGCAACATGTTGGCTGATGGTCTGGTGCTGAGCTGGGGCTTCAGGTCTTTCCTCCCATGAATCCCATCAGGTTCCTTTAGGGTGTTTACAGTAGGAATCTAAGAATGAAGGCTGCTGGGGGGCCTCAACCTGAACATCATTTCTGATGCATTTTATTGGGCAAGCCGGGTCATCAGGAGACCAATATTTAGGAGCAAGCGTGGAGGTCAGACACCATCTTTAGGAGCAAGGCAAGTGTTGTCATGATTTTATTGGGCAAGCCGGGTCATCAGGAGACCAATATTTAGGAGCAAGCGGGGAGGTCAGGCACCATCTTTAGGAGCAAGGCAAGTGTTGTCATGATGGATGATCTAGCTTCACCCCTCCCCACCCTTTGTTTTTTGTGAGATACCATCTCTCTCTCTCTCTCTCTCTCTCTCTCTCTCTCTCTCTCTCTCTCTCTCTCTTTGAGACAGGATTTCTCTGTATAGCCTTGGCTGTCCTGGAACTAGCTCTTGTAGACCAGGCTGGTCTTGAACTCCCAGAGATCTGCCTCTGCCTCCTAAGTTCTGGGATTAAAGGTGTATGCCACCACTGCCCAGTGATCTAGCCCCTTTCTGAGGTGCTGAATGCAGCTCCTGTATTCCACATGCCGGCTCTGTGTGCCCAGCACACAGACTGTAGAAAAGCAGACAGCACCCTGTGTGGTCTCGGGAGCCTCAGTGCCCAGCCCACTCCTGTGAAGTAAGGTGGGTTAATGTATGAATTCAGGCTCACAGTTCACCAGCACTGGCCAGGACTATCACTTGGGTAAATACTGTAACCCAGCATACTTTAACAGTTTTACAAGGGAATCTGTGGGCTCTTTCCTAGAGACAGGATCCAAGGCCCCCAACAGTAGCTTGGTATAGGCAGTCAAGAACTGAGGTTTCGCCGGGCAGTGGTATTGCACGCCTTTAATCCCAGCACTCAGGAGGCAGAGGCAGGAGGATCTCTGTGAGTTTGAGACCAAACTGGTCTACAAGATTGAGTTCCAGGACAGGCTCCAAAGCCAGAGAAACCCTGTCTCAAAAAACCCAGAAAAAAAAAAAAAAAAAGAACTGAGGTTTCATTTGATGGATGAAGACATGCAGGCAGAAAAAACTAAAGACTGGCTTTTCCCATGTGATAACTGTCAGAGGTCAAAGGACTGCCTCTCTCGAATCCTCTGAGAGCAGTAATAGACAGAGGCTGGCTGCCATCCTCCTCCTTCCCCATCCTGTTATCCCAAGTGTATCGGTGAGCTTTAGCAGTCTCCAAGGGCTGGAGGCAAGGATGGGGAGGTGGTACTTAGAAAGGAAAAAATATCAATTGCCTCACTACCCATGCTCACCCCAGACCCAGGTAGCTTCTCAGGGATGTCCTACTGTCCAGCTCTGCAGGCCCTGGGAGGACACAAGTGAGACCCTCCTCTCATGCATGCCCTAGGTGATGGGAAGTGTCAGTACGCAGCTCAAGTCTCACATTCCAGAAGGTGGAATAAGTATCAAGCTGTCCACTCTGGCAAGAAGCCAAGCTGACCACAGGGCCACCCCAGGACAAGCATTCCAGGGTTCCAGAGTCACCTGCTCAGACTTCTGGAGTAACTGCGCTTTCAGACAGCCCATTCCTGTCTCAGGTCACATGCAACATGACTTGTGGACATGAGAGAAGCAGATTTGGCAAGAGTCCAAAGTCAGGACTTCGTACAGAGCTGCAGGGGAGTACCAATGTGGGCCCCTGGGCAGGCCGAGGGTGCAAGAAGAGAGCTCAGACTGCAGGGCTCCATGCAGGCTGCAAGCTCGGCTGCTGGCTCAGCTCTGCTGACTCACCTCTCTCCCACCTGTTCCCCTTTAGCAGCCCTCCCACCCGCTTCCCAGCTCTGTGTGCAGCTCCTCTGATCTCTCCTTCCTTGCGCTCCTGGTGGCTGCATCCGGGGGCGGCTGCAGCTTAGATACCTCAGTGCTCAGTCATGCAAACTGACTGGCAGCTGCAGGGCCTTGGAGGTGCTGCCATGCTCTTCTCTTCTTGGCCGAGAAAAGATGAGCTAGACTTGTCCGGCCTTGTGTCTGCTCCTCCTTTGGGGAGAGGGGCCCTGGAAGGCTTAAAGGGAGTACTGGTGTGGAAAGGGACTGGAGGGAAGGAGGGTGTGGTCTCACAGAGGTTCCACCCTTGCACCTCTGCCTGAAAGCCACCATTCAAGAGTCATCTTGGCTCAGCGTGGCTTCCTTCGACATGGCTTCTGGAGTGGAGTTTTCCTTTTAAACTTACACAGATTAGAAAGAGCAAGAGAGGCACCCAGGTGGCATTCGGCTCTGTACTGTCACTGTCAGTCCTTTCTGAGATCACTCAGATCACACAGATCACCTGTGTTTGGCTTCTCTTATCTCTTCTGGATAATAGACTGTTCTGGGCAGTATGGTTTGCTTTGTTAGGTTTTTGTTTTTTGTTTTTTGTTTTTGTTTTTTAAAGACTAGGTCTCATGTAGCCCAGTCTTGCCTCAAACTCAATATGTAGCTGAAGATGATCTTGAACTCCTGATTCTCCTGTCTTCACCTCTCAAGGCTGCTGCTAAAGGTGTGCAGCACCATACCCAGGCAAGTCTTCTGTCTTTGGAGCTGGCAGAAGCAGAGGCAGATAGATCTCTGAGATTCCAGGCAAGCTTGGTCTATCTAGCAAGTTCCAGGATAGCAAGGGCTGCATAGAAAGACCTCATGTCAAAAAGTAAACAAAACCCAGAGACGGTAGACTTGGCATCCACATCCTTCCACAAAAACAAGGATTGGGAAGAGAGGACCTTCAACACCCAGCTTCCTTCTCGGTGTCATGAGGAAAATAGGCTGGCAAGAGCCAAGTGAAGTCAAGACCCCTGATATTTCCATGTCCTCCACTGAGAGGAAAGATCATGAATGTGACAACCAGAGGCACCTAAGTTTAAATTTTGCCCTTGCCACTTAACAGCTATGTGACTTTGGGCAGGTTAATTGTCTGTGAGCTTGAATGTGTGCCCAATCGTGAGTGTCTGTGTGTATGTGTGTGTGTGTGTGTAGGGCATTCATGTATCTATGTCACATTCTGTATGGATTAAATGAGATCCTGTATATGACTGGGCATGGCAGGTATGGGGTCAGGCGCATTAATGATCTAAATAAATGTTGAGTGGCCTTTGGAAAAGGTTTTGATCAACTTAACAATAAATGACACAATTAGTTTGAGGCAAAATTGGAGTTTCCTGGCAACAATGGGGAAAACAGAAACCTGAAGTATTATGTAGCACTAGGTACATCTGGGCTTTGAGGCATGAGAGTGAATACTGGGTTCCTGAATCACTTTCCTTCTCTGGCTGTAATCTCCTTATCTTCAAGGTTAGGAGTTGGGTTTCATGGCTCCTGGGGTTCTGGTGGTATTGCACAAACGTAGATTCTATTCCGGGCTCTTTCTGAGGATGGTGGGAGGCCTTGGGAAGAGAGTGGATCAGGACAGAACTGTCACTTAGTAAAGTCAGCCGAGGCTGTGCTACCTCCCTTGGGCCTGGAGACAGGCAGGACTACCCTCATCTGTCGACAGACTCCCTTGAGTATGGCATAAAATCGCCTCACAGACCTGGCAGGAGTCTCCCAGCCTACAGCATTGCCTGGGCCCTGTGGCCAGCAAAGACATCAGCATCAGCCCTCCTACATTCTACCTTTGACCTTAGCACATGGCCAGAAGTGAGCAGACCTGCCTTCTAAAGAGCTCATTCACCTAACAAATAATTTATGAGGCCCTGCCTTAAGCAATGGAGGCTCAATCTCAGGCAAGGGGCTTTGGCATTAAGCCAAAGCTGTGCCTGGAACCTGAACCACTGCCCTTCAACACTGGGCTGTGGTGTTCAGAAAGAGCTTGGGCCAGTCTCTAGCCTGGGACCACAAATTCCCGCCCTGCTGGATGGGACTGGATGTCAGGTTTCCCAGTGGCTTGATGGGAGGAAAGACAGGAGCACCGTAGGTACCTTGTGTATGGGGAGGGGCCAGGCCTGGGACCTGGCCTTTCCTCGGCCATAGCCAGAGCCATGGCAAAGTAG